CAGTTTTTGCAGGGAAGGAGACACCCACCATAACTCTTCCCTTCCCTCTGCCCCTCCCCCCATCTGCCTCCCTTGGGAAAATCCCCCCCACTCCCCCAACTCTTCAGAGAGGTGAGGAGTTGTGTGGTTAAAACGCACTGCCGGGCCCTGGGGTGGTCATTTGTGTTAAACAAGGACGTGGTGTAATGACGTGGCAAGTTACATTTCCAGTTCTCCAAAAGGAGAAGAGGAGACACCCCCCCCTCCCCTCGGCTCCTTCTGGAGTTTTATGTAGCCTCGCCCCTCCCCCTAGAGTCCACCTGAAAATCCCTCTCAACTGTTTTAACTGTTTTCCTGGCACTCTGGGCTGTCTCCAAAAGATGGAGAAGTGGATATACACGTTTATAGGGTCTCCTCTTTGAGTATGCTCAGGAAGCTCACTGGGGTTACCCCAGGGGGCATCCTGGAAAGACCTCCAAAAAATGGCTACCGCCCCGGAAGTGACGTAATGGAGAGGGGAGGATTGACAAGTACTCGAGACGAGGGTGGCCACGTGCTTTTTTCTGATGTTGGAAGAGGGTGTGAGTGCTATGGGTTTTTTGTTTGGAACCCACCCCAAGTTCCTGCCGAGCTTTGGAATTGCCAAGGTGTGTCCAACTCGGAAATGGAGGGGGAGGGGGACATTGATCTTTACAGAAGGATCCCAGCTGTGGCACATGACTTAGTTTGAAAATACCATGTTACCTGCAACTGGGAAATAAGAAATACAGGAAATGGGGTACAGAAGTTTATCCCGCCCTATAGGAAAATAGAAGGGGAAGGGGATAAGAGAAGGGGGGGAGGAATAGAGGGCAGACTAGGGGAAGGGGTATTCAGAATGCATGCCATCTTGGGATGGGGGAGGGGTGAGATGGGGTGAAAATTTGGAACTCAAAATCTTGTGGAAGTAAATGTTGAAAACTAAAAATAAATTTATATTAAAAAAAAGACCATGTTACCTATGTTTTATTGTATTTTTATTTATTTTGTCACATTTTCATTAATTTAATTGCATTTTAATCTGCCCCAGCTTCACTCAGGAGGTTTGACACCCCTGGGATAGAATTCTGTTCAACTTGATAAACATTTATTAAGTACCTACCATGTACCAAGCAAGCTGGGGATACAAAAGAGAGGTAGAAGATAGTCCCTGCCCTCCTGGACCTAAAAGGGGGAGAGGGGAAGAGAGACAACGTGCAAACAGAGACATACAAAACAACATGCGTGCCTGTCTTTTTGCAACATGGCAAGGAGTCAGGAAGATCTGATAATCTCCTTTCCTGAACGTACTGGCTGGCTGGGTGACACTTCAAGTGTATCAGAGTAGTCACACACAATTAACTTCTCAGTGTCCCCGAATAACTCTAAAGCTGTAAGTCCTAGAGCTCCTGCATATCATCAATAGACTAATCGACAAAAATCACAGACTATAAACAGTGAGACTAGCTAACTAAGGCCTGAAGCATGACACCAAGACTTCTTTGATCAGACAGAGAATAGAAAGATGAGTTAGAACCTAACCAAGCAATTCACCTAATCACTAAGGTCCCTTTAACTTTAAATTTATGATCTCATGACCAGCAAATGCACAGACCGTTGGGAAAACCCCTTCCCCCCCACTAGAAGACCTATAATCTACCTTCCAAATCACCTCATGGATGCAGCAGATGCTCTTCAGAGGGGGGTCTGTCCCTGGGTTGATGAGGAAGAGTCCCACTTACACACACACATACACAGACCCATTCACACACCCCTTTTTGAGTGTTCAACCAAACAGTGACTGGCCCAGGATGAGCAGACTTGGGTGGGTTGCAATCTGCATCACCAGATGCAGGTATGGTTACAGTATCAGATCTTTTTACAGTATCTTCCCCTTCTTACTGTGGAGGGTGCCACTATGGTTCTAGACATTCAAGAAATCAGTTGCTCTCCCTTACCCTATATATCCAATCAGTTGTCAAATCATCATTTCTACCAACTTAACATCTTTCATCTGTTCAGTTTCTCTCTGTACTCACAGTCACCATCCTTATTCTGAGTCTCAACACCTCTGGCCTGGACTACAGCAACACTTTCCTAACTGGTCTCTCTACTTTAATCTTTCCCTCTCTATATTCTACTCATGGTTGCCAAAGTGATTTTTCCTAAAGGATAGGTCTGATCATGTTACATCCTGTTTAATAAATCCCAGTGGCTCCCTACTGAATCTAAGACCAAATATTATTTCATCTTTATCCCATCCTTTTTTGTTTTCTGTTTTATGTTTCATAATTCACATATTGTAGCATGAGAATATAACTTAGAATTAAGTAACTATACCTGTATGCATCACAGGATCATAGAGGTAGAGCTAGAAAAGACCTCAGAGACCATCAGTCTGAGTATGTGCTAAAAAAAATTTTTTTGGCTGATGAAAAGTCTAAAAGGATTAGAGACTAGCCTACAGCAAAGAAAAAGGTGGGAAAGTGCCCATTATAAACCCTCTGAATTTACATGGAGGTTCAATGAAGTCAAGCCACATTAAAAAAACAAACAAAACAAAACAACTTGTCATGTTCCCCTTAAGCCATTTACCAATGGCTTGATAGTTGCTGACAAAGTTCATCGCCTACTCTAGGTAGAACGTTTAGGAACATTTTTTAAAAGTTCTTTTTCCTTTTTTTTTTTTAAAGAAATACTGTGGCTGAGAACACTTCAAAAGTGATACATTTTACTACTACTTCGAAAATACTTGTCAGTGGTGATGCCCCCACAATGAACACCTTGCTGGGCAGAATACCTGTGAACCGCTGCCTGGAAAGCTAAGTTAGAAGCAGGCAACAGAAAAAAAGCATCTAAGCTGGTGGTGTCAAACTCCAGAAATGGAGCCCACTAAACTATAAATAAGTATCCCTGCTGATCACTATTGACTTGGAAAACCAGGTATTAACATTATCAATGTTCTATTGTATTTTTTGTTTGGTTTGTTGGATATTTCTCAATTATATTTTCATCTGGCTCTGGCCACACTTGGGAATGTTGTGGAACCAGGGCTATGTTTGACACCTTTGGTCTAAGCAGCTTATAGTTTAGTAGCTATAGTGTTGAACTTTGTCAAGAAAGCCTCAGTTCAAATCCTGCCTCAGACACTTACTAGTTATGTCACTCTGGACAAATCACTTAACATGTCTGGGCCCCAGTATCTTCATCTGTAAAATGGAAATAATGATAGCACCTGCTTAGATGTGTTGTTTCAACAACCAAATGGAATATGTGTAAAGTGCTTTGCAGACTTTAAATTACTGTATAAAATGGTAGCTATTATTAGTCTAGACGAATAGAACATAATAGTATGACTGGATAGCAATAACAGCAAACATTCTAACTGGACAAGTAGCAGATAAAGAAAGACAACGATACTCTACAGCCCTGAGGCATGCTTCATAATATGACCTTTTCCCCACTGGCAGCTTCATTTCAGCATTATCCAAGAAATATTTATTAAAAACCTTTTGTGGTGTAGCTACTAGGAGGCCTTGAAAAGTTTAGCTAAGCTGTGGCCATTTCCCTCACAGAGTTTGTAGTCTTGTCCTGTTTTTTGCATGTTGTCTCCCCTAGTATACTGTGGGCTCTTTGAAGGCAGGGACTGTTTTCTTCGTATCTCCAATGCGTAGTTGCCAACGTACAGTAGGTACTTAATAAATACTTGTTGACTTGGGGGAGGAATCTTCACCTCTGACAGTGATCATCACCTTCCTTTGTTCCTGTGACTGGTTCTTTCCTCTACCCTTCCTGCCATTACTTTGTCAATCAATTAATATTTATTTATTAAGTATGAGTAGAGATATTTTTTATTCTTTATATTTGTATCCCTAGCATCTACAACAGTACCTGGCACGTAGTAGGCATTTAATAAATGCTTGTTGATTGATTGAACAAATGAGTGCCTATTATAGTTGTAAAGCACAAGACACTTACTCCCTGTAGCTTCAGAGAATCAGATTGATAGAAGTTTCAGGGAAGCATATTTCAGCTCAAGAGAAGAAAGAACTCCCTAATCTAATAATTTGTTCAGTTGTGTCCAACTCTTCAGGACCCTAGGGATTGTACTGTCCATGAGGTTTCCTTGGCAAAGTGACTGGAGTGGTTTGCCATTTCCTTTTCCAGTGGACTAAGGCAAACAGGTTAAATGACTTGCCCAAGGTCACACAACTAGTAAGTGTCTGAGGCTGGATTTGAACCCAGATCCTGATTTCACAGGCTTGCTGAATGGCTGGCACCATGTAAACAGCAAAACAATCTCTAAATATGAGCTGAAATTAGTATTTCTATACTGTATATTACAAATAATAATTATATATTCTGTAATGTAGTTTGCAAACCCTTTTCATTTTCAGGTTTTAGACAAATGCAACAATGCTTGAAATCTCCCAAGGCAGTACTTGATTAATTGTCAAATGATTAATAGGAAATAAGTCCATTAGAAATTAGATGGTGAAGGCTTTATGGAGAAGGGATCAAAATATGAGTAGAATTTGAGTAACTGGAGAGAATGAGAGGGAAACACCATAAGCAAAATTTCAGGAGTTATAGTGAGCACACTTAGTTTAGCTGGAAGAGGTTTCAAAAGCTAATTGAAGATAATAACATTATTGATGTAGGCTGTAGGCGGCCTTAACTCAGAAGTGATTCAGAGCAAACATGCAATAATTTATCATTAAAAAAACCACAAAACACTGAAAAGTATTGAAACTAAAACTTCTATGCACCACCAAAATCAGCTCGATTGGTAAATGCCTGATCTTTGAGAGCCTTTTTAAACCAATTGCTCCTCAAGCAGTGTCTATGTTTCTTTTCCACTTATCTGTCCAATTTAAACTGTAAGACATCTGAGAAGTGACTGTATTAATTTCACATTGTGTACACTGCTTCAAGGTACAAACAATACTCAGTAAACAGAATTAATCATTAAGGGGGATGGATGGGAGATTTATTTATCTTACCTCAAAAGGATTGCTGAGGTCTGGACTCACAAATGAGTCAGAAATATAAAGGGACGTGTCTCTCCCTGGGTCCATGCAGAAGAGTTATTACTACTGCTGCAGTTTACTATACTACATTAGGAGATGATGTGACCTTTTTCCAACTTGAGTTTAACTCCTTCATTGCATGGCTTCCATTAAGTGTCAGAGGAGAAGGTGGTACCTGTGGAATGAGAAAAGATATACATAATTTTGTTTTGTTTTGTTTTGTTGTCACAAGGCAGGGTTCATTCTGGAGGGGAAAGGGTGAAAGGACTGCATTACATAGACAAAAATCAGCAATTAAACTTTACAAAAATATTCATATGGCTGGTGCCCAAGAGGATTTAGAATAGAGGTTCTTACCCTCATTCTGTGAACTTTTTTTTTATAATTGTATTTCAATATAATTGGTTTCCTTTGTAGTCCTATGTATTTATACATTTTAAAGCACCATTTGAGGTGTCCATAGGCTTTACTAGACTATTAAAGGGGTCTATGACACAAAAAAAGTTAAGAACCCCTGATTTAGAAAAAGAAGTTCCTTCTTAATGAAAGAGTTCAGATTATGCTTTTTCTTTCCCTTTTAAATGCAAAATTTATAACGTATGCAGCAAGGACTCTATGACTCTCTCTCCCAGACTCAGGCTGTTAAATCTTCCATCAAAGCTCCATAAAGGCACCATGAAAGGTTGAGTGTCTCTCCTCTGCTACTGTGGGTTCAAGCCCCCCACTGGTAGTGTTCTCCTCATAGTTAGGAGCTTGTAACCAGCATCCCAGTTCCATTTAACCACAACATCAGGCAGGCAGCTTTCCTAAAGGCACATAACTTCAAAGATATAACAAGAAAAAGCATACAAACATTTCTCCCAATATCTCCAAGGCACACTTTGCCCTATATCATTTCAGTCTCTGGTGGACTGGCCTCAAAAATTAGCCCAGTTCTTAAACACCATTGGTCCTACCAAGTTTATATCCAGATGTGACTTGACTGCCATAGTAATCCTTCAACTGTTCTGAGGTCCCAAAGATCCCTCCCAAAGACTACTCCCTGCTCCTTGGGGAGCCATTGGTGCTTCATTGGCTCTGGAATCTCAGCCTCAATACTGATACTCAGATTCCCGTGGTTCACTATCCCAACTGGGATGGGGAAGTTGCTGAGGCTGACAGGCCTTTTTGAAAACCTCTGAAGTCAGTAAGAAAGATGGCATTCACCATGTGGTCTGCAGACTAGAACCAGTTACATAATATCTATGCATTCTACATTCTCTGCAAGGCATTTTCCTTACTCATCATCACAATTCTCCCAGAAGCAACTCTCTAGCTTCCTCCATGTAGAGCAGTTACATCAGCCAAGCATGCACCAGATCGCATTAGACATATATTTACGATAAAACCCGAATTGCTCACATAGCATTAACACCTAAGTAATGCGCATATATTTTGCGAAGCTAGGTGGCTCAGTGGATAGAGTGCTGGCCTGGAGTCTGGAAGACTTGAGTTCAAATCCAGCCTCAGACTCTTACTAACTGTGTGACCCTGAACAAGTCACTTAACCTTTATTTGCCTTAATCCACTGGAGAAGGAAATGGCAAACCATTCCAGTATCTTTGCCAAAAAATACCCATTGACAGAATTCGTGTGCTATGGCCCATGGGGTCACAAAGAGTTGGATGCCACTAAACAACAGGTGTACATATTGGAAACATAGCATAGTCTGTATAAAGTTTACTCTCACTATTTGCCCATAGTAGGAACAGTGCTTTTGGGTAAGATAACCAAAAGACTATGGAACTATACAAACATTACTGATTCCGATGAATTTGACAGATACTATACTAAAAAAGGAACTAGGTTCCTACAGAAGAATTTAAGAAAGTGAAAAATGAATGACAAAATCAGCACAAATAAGTGTGTTTCTGGAAATCCCAGGAGAAAGTTTTCTTTCATTACTGTTATCTGAAAGGATATAAATCCATATAACAGTTTTTCCAAAATTTCACACCTTTGTAGAAGCAAACTTTTTTGCTTCCATCTACATGAATTTGACTATACTGGGAAGGAACATAATGGCATTTATAAAAACAATTTTACCAAATGTACAATTAAAAATAAATCCAAAACTAAGCACATGCTACTGACTGATATTTTCTGAATATCCCCAGGATTTCCCACAAGGCAAACTAGATAACTAAAATCAAGTATTGCCAGGCCTCAATTGCCATTATGTCAAGTCAGGTGATGCTATCCAAAAAATAAAAGATTTCTGCCTTTCGTCGTATGGAACAAATACTAAGAAATTGAAGACAAATGCTTGATTTTTTCACTCCATTACAGGAGCCACAGTTTGAAAAAGTGTGTTTCAAATAGGTCTGTCCCATGTATAAGTTCTATATTGATATAGAACTTATAATGAATAGTAAAGCAATTAATAATAAATAAATCATTTATATATTAAAAAAAAGAATTCATTTTTGTACTTAGGGAATGGGAGATTGATCAATGAGATTCCAGTCTTAGATCATGCTCTTCCTGGTATCAACCCACAAGGAACCTTGGTGAACTTCTTATACAGGTACCCCAATTCAAAGCATGTCTAAGTATCCTTTGACTACTTACTGCAGATGGATGAAAAGCTTTTTAATTGGCTGCTCAGCCAGAACTGACTGTGCAAAAAAAAAGAGGAATTCTTTTGCTCTCTCTGGCATCTTTCAAGTGAGGAGGAAGAAATACTGTGTACCTTCAAGTAGGGACAGAGGTGGAAAAACACAAGCAGGATGCACTGTTTCAACTGTCTTATCACCCAACCTGGACCAACATGTGGCCACAAATATATAGTGCCTATGTTTCTTTTGTCCCTGATGTAGCTGTTCTTTGATGATCTTAAATGAATGAGTATCAGGTAGCAACTAAAGAACATTTATATAATACTTTAAGGTTAACAAAGCACATTGCATATATTATTTCATTTGATACTCAAAACAACCCTATAAGGTAGGTGCTATTATTAGCCTCATTTTATAGGTGAGGATTTTGAAGCTAACTGAGATTGAATGACTTACCCAAGATCACACAACTAGTAAGTATATGAGGCAATATTTGAACTCAAACATTACTGACTCTAAGTATAGTGTTTTATTCACAATGCTACCTGAATTCCCCTTTACAAGGACATCTATTATTTACTAGTTAGTATGACATCTACTATTTTAATAGACAGAGAAGAACAGAGAGGGCATATTAGTCAGGTAAAAATGTACAATCAAGAAAGTACAAGGTCTGTTTTCACCTTCTACTCTATTGAAAATAGAAGAAAAGACACAGTGAAAAGAGCTCTTTGAGTTCTTTGGCTTTGAGATCAAAGGAGTTGGGTTTGAATCCCAGCTTTGCCCTTTACTACCTATGTGAGGCTCAATGTGTTCCTTAACCTCTCTAGGCCCCAGTTTCCTCAATTATAAAAGAGAATTAAAGTCACTTCCAAATTTAAATACATGAATGTAAGACTAGTGAATATAGGGGTAGCCGCTTGAGTATCTCGTAATGATTTCCAAATATGTTTATGAAAGATGTAGAATAAAAGATTGAGTTGGAAGATACCGAAGAGTTCGTCTAACCCAACACACTCATTTTGTGGATGAGGAAACTGAGGCCCAGGACATCAGGTAATTTGTTCAAAGTCATATAGGTAATAAGTAGCAAAGGGAAAATTTGAACCCAGAGCAGTTAATTCCAAGGTCAGCATTCTTTCTTCTTTACTACAGTGTCTTCTTAACTCTATTTTTTTCCCTCACCAATAGCTATAGTATGTTGATTCCCCTGGTTTCAAATTAAAACCACTATCGATTATCAGGTAAAATTCAACAAGCAGCTATTCAATTTAACCATCATTTAGTACGAGTCCAGAAATGAGCTATGTACTAGGAATACAACAATAAAATTATGAAAAAGTTCCCGCCTCAAGGAATTTACATTCAACTAGGGGAAACAGCAGATATGCAGCTAAATAAATACAAAACATGCAAAAAGTAAATGCAAAGTAATTCAGAGGAAAACAAGGAAGTACTAACAATCAGGGGAATCAGGAAGGGCCTTGAATAAGATGTGACCCTTCTGCCAAGCCTGGAAGGGAGCTAAACGTAGCCAAGAGTCTGTTAAGGTTTGAATTTCAACTTTAGAAAGTGGACATGTCCAACTACTTCCCTCCTCCTCCTCCTCCCACAAAGTGAGGACTTCCCTAGTTCCACCCCCAAGTTCAGCTCTACAGATTTCTTTGAACTTTCTTGACTGGGAAAACAACGGATAGGGAAATGCTGTAAGATAATGAGCTATACCTATTATCTGCCAGACTACTTTACAATTTTCCCAACACTTTTTACCAAATAATGAATTCTTATCCCACAAGCTTAAATCTTTACATTGGTTAAACACAATGTTACTATAATCATTTACTACTGTGTATTGTATGTCTACTCCGTTCCACTGATCGATGTTCCTATTTCTTAGTCAATACCAAATAGTATTGATATTTACTACTTTATAATTAGCTTAAGATCTGGTACTGCTAAATCTACATTTCACGTGTTCTTTTTCATTAATTCCTTTGATATTCTTGACTTTTTTTTGTTCTTCCAAATGAATTTTATTATCATTTTTTTCTAACTCAAAATAATTTTTTGGTAATTTAGTTAGGATGGCATTGAATAAGTAGATCAGTAAAGTAGAACTGTAATTTTTATTATGTTGTCTCTGCCTACCCATGAATACTGAATATTTCTCTAGTTATTTAAATCTGACTCTATTTGTATAAAAAGTGATGTATAATTATGTTCATGTAGTTCCTGGGTTTGTCTTGGCAGGTATTTTATACTTGACTACAGTTATTTTAAATGGGGTATCACTTACTGTCTCTTCTTGCAGGGTTTTGTTGGTGATGTATAGAAATGCTGATGAATATATGGGTTGTTTTATGCCCTGCTACTTTGCTAAAATTATTATTTCAACTAGCTTTTTAGTTGAATCTCTAGGATTTTCCAAGTATATCATCATATCATCTGCAAAGAGGTAGTTTTATTCCCTCCTTTCTCAGTTTGATTCCGTCAATTTCTTTTTCTTCTTTTATTGCTATTGCTAACATTCCTAATATAATATTGAATAATATTGGTGATAATGGGCATCCTTCTTTCA